AAACTTGATAGAAAACAAATAAAGGAGTGTACTGGAATTGATAAAAAATCGATTGAAAAGCATCTGAAAATAACTAGGAATACGACAGCACTATTGGAGTCTATTGGTTACAATTGGATTGTCTTTCCGAATCCTGAATTAAAAGAAGAGATTATTAGTGAAAGCATGAACAAAATAGAAAAAATGATAGAAACATTTATTAAAAGCTAGAAAAACGACAAGTTATTATGTTTTACATTTCGGAATTAAATTTAAAATAGTATTTAAATTTTTATAAATTGCTATATATTATTTTTAAGATTACATTATAATAAATTTATAAAGAAAGCATTTTGTATATTTTGCCCTAATATTTAAAATCTCTCAAAAGAAAAAACACCATCAAAAATGTACAAACCCTTGATATACCTATAAATGTATGACCGTTACAAATTTATTACCTCAATATTTAATGCAGTATTAAAACTTATGAATTGTAGTTTCCCAAACAAGACAGAAAACTAAGCGCGAGAGCAATTTATTTCTTTTTCTTCCTGAATATTATAATAGTATTGGATGCAAAGTACCTAATAATTGGAGTTATACCAGGAATTGAGTGCTGGAATCACAAAGTATATAGTTTACAAAAGAATAAAATAGAGTTCATCCACAAATCATATTTGTCACATATTGTCAGTTTTCACATCTCATGAGCAGTGTTTAAAATTAGATGTTCTCAGTGTTCTCAGAGAGCATTTAACGATTTTTATGAACATTAATTATTGGAAAGTGTTTTCTATTTGAGAACATTTAATAATTGTTTTTAATATTAAAATCATTAAATTTTCTAATATTAAGTACATTAAAAAATTTTGAAAACATTAAAATGCAAAAAATGCTTATTTGAGAACATTAAATCAAATTTAAATTTCAAACACTATTTATGAGATTATACAGTTACAAATTTGCTTCTTATAATAATCAATTTTAAGATTTCTATAATTTGACCAATTTAATATACTTTTACCAAACATGAAGTGGATTGCATAAAGTTGTGCACAAACATATTAATTTGTTTTAAATACAATTGAATATGAAATCAGTATAGCAAAAAAAAAAAAACATGTTTATAAATGCAAGTATATTCAAGATTATAAAGGAAGGCCATCATTTTTTTTGCTACCATTCACCTCACAGGTACACATATGTGTCTAAATTATTTTTTTAAAAAGCAATTTAGACAAATATTTTGATATTGCTAGTTTTTTTATATAAATTCTACAATATAATCATGCTAATATATTTGAATATAAAGAATTTAAATAATTTTACTAAAAATTTTAAAAAAATAAAAAATTAATTTTACTACTAATAAAATTAATTTGCTACTAATAAAAATTAATTTTGACAAATTAAATATTTTTTATTAAGAGAAGTAATTTAAACAAATATATATATTTATAAAAAACAGCTTTATCATTTTTTTCACTCTGCCCTTTTTGCAATAGCTTAACAATAAACTTAATACTTAGTAACTGATTTGTTAGATAAGGTATATTGGTAAATAAAATCAAATTATTTAACTACAAAGATTTAATTTTCAGTTTTAATATTATGATATCACCTTTTTCTCAATTGCTGCTTTAATAAACAATACTTTTTTAATTCATGAAAATGTCTGATTAAATGAGAAGATTTTCAAGACTACAATTGACTGCTGAAGTAGCAATAAAATTTTGGAAAATATAAAAATAAAATTTAAAGAAAAATCTTAACATTTGCAATATCAAGAACTTTTTTGTAAATTTCAAATGTTGCTAACAGAAATAAAAGTTTTTGCAAAAAAGTGCTTCAATCAAAAGATATTAAAACAATTCTAAATACTAATGAAGAAAAAAATTTGCAAAATTAATAGAAGAGTATAATTCTTGTATAAGAGATATTAAATTTATAATGATTATTAATAATAATATCTTAAGTAATGATCTTGTTAATGCAGTTAAGGTATTGTAAAAAAACTATATCTATTTTTACTTGATCATATAAAATAATTATTGATCTAAAATATTTGAATATAGTTAATAAAAGAATCTTTTATAGAAAATAAGCAAAAAATAGAAAATGTTTATTAAGAAGTATATTATGTTAAAAGGCAACTTCTAGAAATTACAAACTTCATCTAAGCACAACAAATCGATTTTCAACAAAAATCATGAGCACCTGTTGTAGCTAGTATTAATGGTACTAATTAATACTTTATTTAGTACCCTGTTACAAATTTCAAAATTTATAAGCATCTCATCATAAGTGGTCAAAATTTGATGCTTAAAGTTTTAGTTAATTTTTAATTTTTTTAACTAACAAAATATTTTTATATATTTTTT